TTCCAAGCTTCAATAGGGATATCATCAAGTCCTAAAGCCTTATTTGATTTCATCTTCTTAAGTGCAATCTCAACTTCAAAGTTCCTAATCCTACGATAGAACCTATAGTCTTGGTTTATCGTATTACTGGTTATTTCTTCCCTTATTGTCGTACTTCCATGTTCCTCATTTAACAGTCTCAAAATAATTCTTCCATCTTTCCTTAATCTCATCATCCTTCACCAATATCTTAGAATCCTCACTCTTGATGCACTTTACTTGATTAAAATCTCTTGTTTTTCTCTCCCGTATCTTAGCAAGTGTGTATACCATCTTCTCTCCCTTCTTACAATCTAGTCTAGTGTATAGGTCATCATAAGCTTTCAACTTAGTCTCTCTCACTACTTTCTTGACCTCCTTATTAGCCAATCTATAGCTCTTAAGGTTTTCCTTAGTTCTATCATTCTGCCACTTTTTAAAGCACTCTTTTTTGCTTTAACTACCGCTTGAACCTCTTCCCTCCACCACCAAGTTTTCCTAGAGCTGGGTCCCGTTCCTTTCGACTATCCAAGCAGTTCCCTTGAGATTCTCCTCATACAATTGGCCATCGAATTCTACATAGTGTTAGCATCACCTTCTAAGTCCCAAATACCTTCCTTATCCATTCGATTCTTAAATATTTCTAGTTTATCCCCTTTTAGGTCCTACCATCTCGTCCTACGATGCCCACCATCCTTCCTAGCTTGGTATTGCCTTGTAAAACATAAATCTAGTACCAAAATCCTATGTTGAGAGACCAGACTCTCTCCAGGAATCACCTTACAATCATTGCATTTTAGGCAGTCCACTTTTCTCACTAAGAAATAATATATTTGGCTCTTAACTAATCCACTCTTAAAGTTTATCAAATGCTACTCCCTCTTCTTATACATAGTATTGGCCACCACCAGGTCAGAAGCCAACGCAAAATTTAAGATTCTCTCTCCAGCCTCATTTCTGTCACCAAAACCGTATCCACCATGCACCCTTTCATAACCTAGTTTATCTATGCCCCCATGGCCATTAAAATCTCCACCTATAACCAAGTTATCTCCTGCGGGTCTCTCCTGTAAGATCTCATCCATTTGCTCTTAAAAATCCCTCTTAGTCTGATCATCTAACCCTACTTGAGGGGCGTAAGCGCTAATAATATTCATTATATTTCCTCTAATAACTAGTTTAACTAGGATAATCCTATCTCCTTTCCTAGTGACTGTCACCACACTTTCCACAAGACCCTTGGCAATTATGATTCCTACCCCATTCCTGCGTCTATCCTTACCACTATAATAAAGTTTAAAACCAGTATCCTCAATTTCCCTGGCTTTCTCTCCTGTCCACTTAGTTTCTTGTATGCAAGCTATACTAACTCTCCTCCTAATCATAATATCTACCAATTCCATCGTCCTACCAGTTAAGGTTCCTATGTTCCAAGTGGCTATCCTCAACCTATAGTCTTGGACTAGCTTCTTTACCCGCGCTCGTCCAGAAAAACGTGGAAACCTTTGCCCAATTTTCACCGCACCCAGGCGTCGATGCGGCTCCCCTTGCTCACTTTTTGAAACACCCGGAGGCAGGCACAACGCGTCACTTAAGGGGAACGACCTAGCATTTAAACGATTCAAAGTAGGATTCATTTTCATAAGGGATCCAAGCGACTTTTTTACGTGTTGGCTGTCGGCTACCTAACACACAACCCTCCTCCTTAATCCGGGCTTGGGACCGGCGGAGATGTTAACAACCCCGGCGGAGTTTTTTATTTTTTAACATAAAATAAAAAAGGGCAAAAAGCCATGCTTAATTCAAAAACCGCGCTTTAAGTGTATTTTGTAAATGCGCTTTACTTTAACTACTATAAGCTTTTCTGCTATTGCACTTGAAGCTCACTTTTACCAACACTGGTCGTGCTGCTTATCATTCTCTGAAATAATGTTTCGTTAATGTAACACTAACCTGCACAGTGCACGTGCATGCTCATGTCTGTATGCACGTGTGTTAAGTCTAACCTTGTTGTCATGCTGTAAATGAGTAAGATATCATAATAATAATTTGAATATATAAAGAATAAGTGTTGTGATTGGAGACCAATGATTTATAACAAGTTCGTTCCTGCTTTCAGAAAATTAAGAATCCCAACTACCAGCGCAAGTGGAAGACACCTATGATTGATAACCCAGGTTGCTTTTCCTTCTTTTTTTGAAGGCTTCATGTATTATCTCTAGTCTACATCTTTAAGTTACATGTTTCATTAACACCGAAAAATTGCTACTATATGCAGAGTTCAAAGATGACCCTGAAATCTATGTTTTCCCGAAGTTGAAGTATGTGGGCATTGAATTGTGGCAGGGATTTCTGTTTTTTCCCTTATAAATGGTTTATCATTCTTATGGAATTGTGACTATGACTAAGCAAGTTGCATGAATTTTGTCAGGTGAAATCTGGAACCCTGTTTGACAATGTCTTGATTTGTGATGATCCGGATTATGCGATGAAGCTGGCAGAGGAAACATGGGGCAAACAAAAGGATGTATGTTGTCTTTTGCCCCTCAAAAGCAAGTTTTGATATATTTGAAAATATCTTCAAATTGTTGAAGTTTGGGATTATATTTGATTTTTGCAGGCTGAGAAGGCAGCATTTGATGAGGCAGAGAAGAAGAGAGAGGAGGAGGTATTATTTTTTGTTCATAATTGATTTATTTATTGATGATACAAAACAGTGCCAGTTCTAGCAGTTCTAACTCTTTCGTCGATGCACAGGTGGCAAGCTAGGACAGCCATATAAGCATTGCTCAAAATGGCAGACATTATGGGTATGTTTGGTTTGTGTTTGAGAGATGTGTTTTAGAGATAAAAAGTACGAAAAGTTGTTTGGCTTGGTTTTTTTCAAAAGATGTTTTGGAAAATTATTTTGAGAGAGAGATTGCTTGATTTATGTATTAATCTAAATAACTTGTCTGCACATGATGTCGTTTCCAATTTTATTGTGCCTGATTTATATACATTACAGCCAACAGTTTGTTTATTTAAAAGGCTATTGTGTATTGCCAAATTTATTTCATGTTTGTTGATTGCAGCTAAGTTTTGGTGGGAGAACAGTTGCTCTCCCCTTTAACTTCTCTATCCTCAAATGGGCTACTGGTACTCGCAAAGTTCTCAATAATGCTCAACTACCCAAAGGCGTGTCTTTCTACAATATTTATGGAACATCCTTCGACACGCCTTTGGATGTTTGGTATGTAACTAAACCACATAACTAGTTGGGAATACTCAATTAGATAAAGGGCTTAGAAGAAAATTCACATTTGTATTGCATTTGAATGTATATAATTGGTTTGAAGCTGGAAATTTGATTGCCTGAATGCAAGTATTGTTTCCTGGACAAGAATGGTATTACTGGGTGCATCTTCAATATCTGAAACATCACACACTGGTTTCAATTGTGAGAAATAAATCGGAGAAGGATTGGTTATAAATAGTTGTAACATTTTTTGACTAGTTATTTTATAATTATGACTGTTTGAGGTGTCATGTTACTCCCCCAACGAACCAATCCTGTCATTTTGTCTTTTATTTGAATGTTCTGGCTTCTAATGGCAAAAACAATGGTGCCAACTAGCAAGGAGTAAGCATCCCAGTATCAATGTTTAGTTTATGCTTTTCTGTAACTGTCAAATGTATCCTTCTTTTCGGTTTATCATTCTAAATCCCATTGATCTGAACCTCCCTAACATTCTGAATAGCTGTGTCCATGTTTATATTCTCTGCATGGTTATGTCATGTTTCATAATTATACTTTTTTCTCAAATCCTAATCTCATTCTAAAAAAATGGTGTTTTTAAAAAAGCATTACCTAGAATTGTAGGAACCATATCCTGGTTTGAATCTAATTTGCGTCTAACTTTTCTTGCTCCTGTGTGCCAAATCTGGCCTGTGAACTACCCACATAATATCCTAGCTTCTTGGTGTGGATGAGCTTTCACATCTTTTCTACCAAACTTGAGCGAAATATGATCATAGAGAGTACATTTCAGTACCATTCAGGATGATCCTCATGCCGTTTTGGATTTGCACAATTTAGCTTATGTTAAAAGACTGGATAGCTGCATCGTAAACATTTTTGCGATTGCGACACATTATAATCACGTTTGACCTATACTTATATCTTGCAGCTATGGTTCAGAAACTTCTCCAATTGAGGACTTGCCAGATGTATGCCACACAATGGTAAGTACTGATGTTTACTAATATAATTCAATAAGCTACTCATGGCCCTGCTGTTGTTTATTAGATTTACGTAACAACTTTAAATCCCTTTTACTCCCATAAACAGCCACACCTTAAGACTCCTTATTGTGCGAGTGTTGGAGAGCTTGATATTGTTGGCCCATTTCCTGACAGCTTAAGCTTTTGAGACAGTTACTAATTTGACATGATATTAGGGCTCATGAAAGATCCCCGTTTGCATTATTCTTTTTCTTATTTACATTCTCTCCTCTCTTCTCTCTCTATGTATGAATATTTGCATCTCCACGGCGAAGATCCCCTTACATATGAGGAAGGTGTTGGAGAGCTTGATATGCATTGTCGGACTTATTTCCAAACAGCTTAAGCTTTTGGGACAATTGGCAACTTAACATTGAGTACTAGCACATATTTTCAGATTGAGCCTTATGTATCATCAAAGTGTAGGCAAGAGTGTATATATATATATATATATTTGTTTTGGGTTTTAATTATATTTTCTATGTTTTATCCGTTTTAGCCCAATTTGATGGGACTTAAGGCTTGGTTTGGTTTGGTTTGGTTTGTATTTACACATCTAAGGTTGTCTTTCTGACCTCCTATTTATTGTTTTACTTACCTAAACTCACTAATGGACTGATGAAAACCTTTAACAAGTCAGTTATTCACAATTCAACTATTATTTTCTGCTGCATTTAACTTTAATGATACCCAATTTTTTTAATTTAAACATCTTGCAGGCGGATGGATTTGCAGCAACTGAACGAGTAGGAGTTGCTTCAAGTCATCGGCTACTGTTACGTGACAAAACAGTATTTGAGCTAATTCAAAGGTGGTTAGGGATCAGCCAGAAGGTCAACAACCATTCGAAAACTTCCAAAGTAATGAGCGTTAATTTAGACTAATATCTTTGTGTGTAAGATTGATTTCATGTGCTTGAAAAGAATAAATGAAAGACAGTCTGTTCTTATAATAATTCAAGTGACCATATATATAGCATCAACTGGCGCGGTTATTAAGCGAAAGTTGTTATTATGGCCCTGCGTTGCGTGCGGGGAATGTGTTCTTTGAGTGGCCTTACGGTGAGTCTCAGATTGTTGGAAGATTTAGAGAACTTTTGGAATACGGAGGACCTGTTTATTGTATTATTTATTTGTGTGATATTTGTAATATTAATTTCCAGAGACTTATTTGACATTTCATAAAATTTAATAAATTAGAATTTGCTAGTAAAGTTTCTTTTTTTCTTTTTTTTTTTGATTAGATAAAAAAAGGGCTCTGAGGTGTCATCACGGCCCCGTGGGCCTTGACCTCGGGGTAACCGGTTGCTAGTCAGGAATTAATCCCCACCATGTGAGGGACCCACCACCGAGGCACTAGTGGAGCTTAATTGTACCCCATAGGCCGCCGAGGGTTCGAACCGGAGTACAGAAGGGGGGTCTCAAAGAGAACACTTCCACACTCCCCCAAGGATTCGATCTTGGGTCATGTCTGTGGAGACGAGCTGTTTTCTCCACTAGGCCACCACCCCCGGTGGTTGCTAGTAACGTTTCTCAGTCAACACATTTGGTATTTTCACAAAATTTAGTAGCTTAAATTTTGTTTCCAAAATCTATAAATCTAATGGATGGCGCTTGCATAAAGATATCAGTTTAAATTTTGTTACAAAAAATTGTAACTACATATTATTGGTATTTGCCCAAAATTTATCTTATATTTTGTCACCTAATCTGTAAGTTCATTCTTTTGGCCTTTCTACTAAAATTATTGACTTAAATATTGTTACCAAAATTCAAAAGTCGATATTTTTTTAACCTTTTTACAAAATATATTACCTGAAATTGTCACCAAAGTCACTAGTCCATAATACCTTTGGCATTTTCATTAAACTTGTGAGATTAAATCTTGTCACAAAATTTGGTAAGTCCATAATTTTGTTTGTCTAACTAAGAGGTTGTTTGGAATGACTTAAATAAATGTAATTTTTGTCTTTTTACGAAAAAATATGTAAAAAAGTAAAGAGGTGATGTGATGAAAAAAAGATAAAAAAATTAATTATTTTTGGGTTACCAAACTTGACCTAAATTTATTTGCTTAAATTTTGTTATAAAAAAATTATAAGTACTTGTTTTTGGATTTTTCACCTCAAACTTAGCCAAGGAAATCTGTAAGTGTGTACTATTGATTTATTTTCATAATTCATCACTTTAATTTTTTTTAACCAAATTTTTGTAAATTCATACATTTAGCATTTCACTGAATTTGTCAACGTAAATTTTGTTATTAGAATTTGTAAAACCATAATATTCTCATTATTAGTTGCACAATTATATAGGCAACTTCAAATCTAGATTTCAACCTAATTTATAATATAATAATATATTTTACATAATAAGTCTATATTTTATTTATTAAAATAAGGCCTCGTTTGGGATGCTACCTTTTTAGCCAATTAGTCAAAAAGTTATTAAATTAGCCAATTAGCCAATTAGTCATACTAAAAAGTCAACAATTACGGCTTCTCTCTACTTTTTGCACAGCTTTTCGTAATTAGTCAAAAAGTCATCCCAAACATACAAGTTTTTTTTACCTACCTTTTTAGCCAATTAGCCAAAAAGTTACTAAATTAGCTTGTTCCCAAACGAGGCCTAAGTCATGCCGATGATGTGGTCTCTCACCCCCATGGTTTTACCCGTCATTTTGCCAATTGGTCCATGATTTTATTAGTCTATAATATTGTCTAGATCCTGTTTTCCTTCATTACTCATGGTAATAGTCACCACTATATTCCTCCAACATTACATCTAATTCGTCTAGATCTTTTTTCATCATATAATCTCCTAAGAAATAATATTATCGTTTTAATTGATATGTTTCAGAATCTAATTTTTTTTTCAAATAATCAAATACCCATAGAATAATCTTTAGACAATTATCTCTTCTGTCCAGGCAATGAGATGTTATTAACGATTCACCAATTTTTTCATCAAATCTGACCCAAAAAAAAAAAGGCAACTTTCTCAATCTGATATAAGTCACTCCAATGGTTGCACTGTAACTTTCATCAAAAGGCAAGGAACGTCCGGTAGGACGACTGGCCGGATGACCGGACAGGCAACTGAATTTTTTTTTTCCCCTCCATTTCTGTTTCCCAATTCATTTCTCATTTCTTTCTCCCTCCATTAAATATTTTCTATTTTTTTTTTTTTTTGCCTCCAACAATGATTTCCTTCCAGAAATTAATATAAACACATTTATCCATGGGCCATATACCAGACAAGAGGTACGTTACATCTGTAACCAACCATAACTGAAAGCAGAGCATAATGAGTATCTCAAATTTTTACATGTTCACTTCATTTTCATCCTCTTCTTCTTTCTCATCCTCTGATGATGAGTCTGATGATGAAAAAATGGTCACACTTTTGGAGGTTTATGAGATAAATAATGCTAGTATGATTCAAATTTTGCAATCAACTAATGGATCAAAGAAAAGAGATGGTTCTGTTGTAGGACATAATTACATACGTCGTGATAAATGGAAGGGTCATGAGCGATTGTTTGCGGATTATTTTGCGGCAAATCCAATATATTCACCTATAACATTTCGGAGGAATGCGTCGTCCTCTGTTTCTTCGAATTTTGAATGCCATTAAAGCACACGATTCATATTTTGTTCAAAAACAAAGTGCAGCACATATCCTTGGATTGTCTCCCCTGCAAAAGATGACTTTAGCAATTAGAATATTATCATATGGAGTGGCAGTAGATACAGTGGATGATTATATTCGTATTGGGGAAAGCACTGCAACTGAAAGTTTAAAACACTTTTGCAATTCAGTAATTGAAGTCTTTGGACTAGAATACCTGAGATCTTCAACAATAATAGATTTTGCTAGATTACTTACTATTGGGGAGGTTCGTGGGTTTCTAGGTATGTTGGGAAGTTTAGATTGTATGCATTGGGAGTAGAAAAATTGTCCAAAAGCAGGACAAGGTCAACACATAGGCCATCAGAAAAAGCCAACCATCATTCTTGAAGCAATAGCTTTTTATGACTTGTGGATTTGGCATGCATTTTTTGGAATGTCTGGATCACACAATGACTTGAATGTGTTTGATCGATCACCCTTATTTTCTGATCTTGTCCAAGGTAAAGCTCCCCATGTGCATTACACTATTAATGGACACAGTTATAATATGAGTTATTACCTTGTTGATGGTATATATCCTCAATAGGCAACACTGGTTCAAACCATCTCTTCTCCCCAAGGAGCAAAGAAACAATATTTTGCAATGATACAAGAGTCAGCAAGGAAGGATGTAGAGCGAGCATTCGGAGTGCTCCAAGCTCGATTTGCAATTATAGGTGGTGCCGTACGTTTTTTGGATTCGAAATGCTTGGGAACATAATGAAGACTTGCGTTATATTACATAATATGATCGTCGAAGATGAGCGAAAGAAGCATCTTGATTTTGATTATGAGATTTCATTAACCAACTCACCAGTAATACTTTTGTGTAGTAGTAACAATAATTTCCAATCATTTTTGTCTTGTCATCTAGGTATTAGAGATAAAAATACATATCATGCCCTCCGCAATGATTTAATAGAACATATGTGGCATCTTCACGGTAAAAACTAAATTCACCATGTGGATGCGAACTTGAAATTTTGTTTATTTTTTGGAATGAGAGGTGATTTCGCAAGGAAAGCTGTTAATGTTTGTTTGTTGTCAGTGCTCTTCACAATGTACACATTTGTTTCTGCTAGTACTTTTGGTCCGTTAACTTTGTCATTATCTAAAATAGTGTGCAATTGTTACCAATATACTGATGTCATAATTTATTGACATTTTGCTTTCTGATATGGCTTTAGATTACTGATTATTATATATATCCACGTATATTAAATTACAAATGAATGCAACACATTGAATGAATTACAAATGAATGCAGCACACTGAACAAATGAATTAAAAAAATATTTGTAATATTAAAATATATATTACAAATCAATTGGTTGAATAAATTTGCAAATTCATTTATTGACAATTGAACAAATGAATGCAGAACACTGAACAAATGAATTAAACACCTCTACACCTCATAAATGACAAACTTCATTTATTGACAATTCAATACCTCATGAAAATTCAATACCTCATAAATTTTTAGTTGAATACCTCTGTGCCATCCAAGTAGTTGACAATTCATAAATTTGACAATTTAATATCTCTGTACAATCCAAGCAAATGAATTCAATACCTTATATCATAATGTACATATTACTTGTAGGTTTGGTTGGTTCCACATGAAACACACACCACAATCTAACTACTTTATTTAAGCAATTTACCCACCTCATTACTTCCCTCCACCACCTACCTCATTTATTGACACTCTATATACACTCAATATTGGCCACAATTCGAAATCAAGTTCTGTTCCATAAACCGCAATGCAAATCAGCAGCAAGCCAAATTCTGCTCCCAAAACACTCTATATTCACTCTATATCCTTTCAATATTGGAAGTATGCATTGAAAGGATCAGTAAGGCAAAGCAACAAAAGCAGCAACACCAAGTTCAACACAAACCGAATACAAAGTATGTTCCACAAACGGTGAACCGATGGGTCAACCGGTGGGTTGACCGGCTGGTTATTCGGCCCTGTTTCGTTTTTTTTTTTTTTTTTTCTGCTGCACTTTTGCACAGCACACTCAGCACCATTTGATCACCTCACACTAAAGTTGAGCTCTTCTCTAATCCACCATTCATATTTAACACATTTCCAATCTAATTGAACAGATATTCACATCATGCCTAGAACCAAAAGAGCAAGACCAAAACATGGTGAAAGCTCCAACCCTTCACGACGCCAACAACAGCAACAACAGCCTGATATTGGCGTTTTACTTACTATTGATTTTCTCATTTTGCAACATGAACATGCTTTTCAATGCTTCTCTAGCCAACCTATTGTAACCAGGAGAAGGGTTAATCTTCTACCTCAATATGATCCACTGTTAGTTGGCAAACTTTAAGCAGTGGGGTGGGCAAATTTAATTGATTTACCACAAAAGGTATATCCACGTCTGGTGTCTTTATTTTATGTTCACTTGAGATGTACTATCGAAGAAGATGAAAACTTTACTTTTCTATCTTATGTTAAAGGTAAGGGTATTGAGTTTGACATCCCCACTTTATCACGAATTCTTGGAGTTGAGGATAG